TATATATATACATTTGTAATATAGCGTTTGTGATTAATCAAATAATGCATTTTTACACATTTTTTCTCTTGTATTTTAACAAGTACAGTAAATACAATACTCGATAAAACTATCAACTCGTTCTTTCTTCTGATTAAAAAATTCGTTAAAACGAAGTTGACCCTAAATTTAATAACTAATCCTTTAGTAAATTAGTTTAAATTTTATATTTTCATATTTTATTTAACTATAATAACTTTTCTCTGTATATTAATTAGTTTTAATAAATTATTTAAATTTATACTTTTATATATTATTATCTAATATATTATCAGGTATTTAATTTAAAAAAAAAAATCATTACTAAATCTTAAACCAAATAAAACAAAAAGATGTATTAAAATTACATTTTATCTGAGTTAATTTCGAATTCATCTTTGTTTTGCGCTAGTTTGCTTCAACATACAGTATTTTTGACCCATCAAGATGTATTTTAGCACTTTAACTCATCGGTTGGAGATGATTTGTAGCTATATAACGACAATTTAGTTCTTTAACTCATTTGGTTGCTATCTTCATTCGATTATTGTGACTACAGTCGACCACCATCTTCCCATCCCCGATATCATTGCCCGTAACCTAGCATCCACCATCGTATACCTTTTATCCACTATCCACCACAACCACTACAAATCGTCCTTCCCCAACCAACCCGACTGAAACCCCACTGCCTCCCCATGTCACTTCTCAATCCGACGACTCCTTTCTCTCACCGGCGAATGCACATCCCCTTGGAAGAACCACTTCTTCGTCGACACATCTCAACAAGCAACCAATCATCTCCACTTCTGCAATAGGAACACTGCACCTAGCTGTCCTCGTCGATCTCCATGTTTGTCTCTTGCAAATCGAAATCCCATAATGGATGTCGCATCTTGGTCCACCCTACAACTCAGATTTATGCAAAAAAAAAAAAAATAGATCTAGTTGCAACCAAAGCAAACCTAATCTTGAACGCTCACCTTGCCTGAATTTTCTCGTCTACTTCTGGTAAACTGGTTTCAAATGGAAAAAGAACCCAATTTTTTTTTATAAGAAGTGACATGGGTTCTACTTCTAGTACACTACTTGATGATTTTTATTTTTATTTGGGTTTTATTTTGATTCAATTTAATTTTGGTTTGGAATTTAGGTTTAGTTTTGTGTGGATGTTGCATCTTGGTTCACCCTAATTGATGTTGATTTTGATATTAAGGTTTAGATTTGATTTTGGGTTTGATTTTAGTGTATGGAATTTGGTTTGACGGGAAGCTTTTTGACCAGCGAAGAAGACCAACGCTTTTGCTGAAGAAGATGAACGGTGGAAGGGTCTAAAACACATGGGGAACACGTGTCGCTGTTTCAGTGGACGGGTCTAAATCATTTTTGAACTTCTACTAAAAATTAAAACAAAAACATAAAGACAAAAATGCCACTCAGTTGACGGTCGTTAGAGATAGGGACCACATTCGATCGTTTTTACAAACCATGATGACCAAACTGTAATATCAAAATTATATGTCCAAAAAGTGTTACTTTCAAGAAACCTCTCTTACCTTTAACAATTTGAAGAACTTTTTAGGAAATCTATAGGAGCAAAAATCCTCAAAATCTCTATTTTAAAGAATTTGTTGACGAGGTTTTTGAGCTACATGTATGTGTGAATATTTTTGTTTTTAAACAATTTAGGCTTATTAAGCTATCGAGTTTGAATTAAACCCAAGCAACAAGTCGTTAGAAAAGCCAGAGCCATAACTTTTGGACCTTGCAAGTTAAGATTTGCAAAAAAGCGCGATCGGGCCTTAACCAGGGATAGCCGGTCACTGTCCCTGTCTTAGTCCCTTAATCGATTTTTGGGCAAAAATTGTAACTAAAAAGGACCACTGGTCCACTTTTAGCGGACCATTTCTTATACATTCAATACCATTGATAAATGGAGGATATCGATTAACCGGTTCTTACAAGACATGGTAACTTAGGGATTTATCAATCTTTAATCAGTCTCAACCGAACCCATTTTTTTTATTAACCTGGATATTCAACCCACTATGCAAGTCGACTAATCCTAAGGTGACCACCTGCTTTGTGAGTAACCCGGAGTCACCGCATTTGAACCTTCGTGGCCATAAAGGGATTCTTATCCCTCCTTATATTTGAACCTGGGACCTCCAGGCACTTTTGACCTTTGGAGCCTAAGCTCAAACCAATCTAACATCACCTTTGTACCCGGTAAGTGAAGGTGGCGATTCTTACCACGATAAGAGCTTATTGGATAAATTATTGTATACGGTGCTGTTTTGGTGGACTAAAATCTTACTCGGTAAGTAAGTAATAGTATTGAATTTTACCCATAAGTACTTACTGAGTAAGTTTTTGGTAAACGACCCCTAAGTCTTGTATAATGACTTCACAATACATTGGTAGGAAAAAGCTAGATTTCCTAATAAGTTTCATTGACGAAGTTGGACAACCTAATTAGACTGAAAAAGTAAATCGTCACAACTGTCATTTTGGACCCTTTTCTTTTAGTAAAACTTGTTATACATACCACTTTCCAAAAGTATCCTATAAAAAGACTAATACGATGGTTTACTTTTTGTATCCCGTTAGGTTGTCCAATATCATCAATAGAACTTGTTTGATCGTCTAACTTCGTCCTAACAAATTATTATAACGCTCTTATATCAAGACATGTAGTTGTTGACCGGTCCTATCTATTTGGTCTGGTCAAAACAATCCAAAAAGAACCCGGACCGGTCCTGACGATGCCATGGTCTGGTCCGGGACTAGAAAATCTGGTCTTTTTGCCCATCTCAACATGAAATCTTATCAGGAACACATTAAAGCAAAAAGGAATGATAAAATTGACACAGAAACCTATTTTTGACACATAAGAGGGATATAAACAGACATGTTTTTATTAGCTGCATCTCCTGAGGATGGATTTGCCAAGTTTAGACTAGTAAAAACGACGATTTAAAATAAGCGGTACCATTCGGACATCTAATCACAACATTTTACATACGTATTACCTATACATACACATGATATATATACGGTTCTTACATACCGGATCGACGCTGCACCAGTCTACCTGGCACTGGCTTCCTCTTGGGCGTTCCATCCTTTCCATTTCATATTCCCGAGCCATCCAAACCCAAGAGATAATTGACCCGTCTTTAGTTTGACCACATGCTGCCTGTACGGTATCAGTATATTTCTCAAACCTGCATACAGTTAAAAGCCACGTTAACGAAAAAAACCCAAATATATCCCACACCATTTGGGGGGAGGATGGATGCAGACCTTGTCTCTACCCGAAAAATAGAGATGTTTTTTCCATGAAGACACCCGGCTTGCAAAATAAAAATTAACAGAAACAAGCGAGAGTGTGTGCAAATGACCAACGGGTACGGTACATAGAAAATGCAACAGAAACAGATGTGACTGAAATAGTTTAAACAAACAAGGAAACAAGAACAAACCTGATACACACATCGTCCTATAAAGATGAGCGACACGAATATCCCCTTTTGTAGCCATATGAGGCCTCTCCAAGCACTCGAGGAATGCCAAATCCGCCTTGAGAAGCTCCGATTGATCATGAGTATCATAACCGATATCATGACAATAGCAACAATAATCGAGCCAATCAATTGGACGCTTATCCCAAAGTAGAGACCCTCCGTCTTTCCCACTTGACCAATTTGGTCCACAGTAATGCCCATATCGTGGAAACAACTGAGAAAGGAACGCTCTTGGACCTGTGTGCCATGGAACCTTGCAAACATACGGCCTGAAACGAACAGTTGCATAACTGACACCAGGTTCAGAAAGATTACGTAACCGAGACTGCTGTGCATGATTCTTCAACTTTTTGTTAAAAAAAGTTGGCATTTTGATGTTCTCTTTGGCATTGCTGGCCCAAGGAACAAGTGAAACTAGGGACCATCCCCAAATTTTCATATCAATATTGCGTTGTTCTGGTGATTCTTCGAGAGTTGTGGACATATTATGCACCTTTTTTGAAATCATCTTAGAACGTATAAATTATGACACCAAAAAGAAGTGAAGGAGAGAGTTGAGCAAGATTTTCAGTCATTCACGGTTTTCCGGGCTTCATCCAGAACACTTCTCGTTAAACAAGATCTACATGTAGCAAGATTGGCAACATCTGAATTAAGAAAAAACAATCCCAATATGCAATGAAAACATTTCGTATTAGCCTTTTTGATTTCATCATATTTTTGTTATGGCGAGGAATGAAAAAATGTATTGTGCACCAGAGATAGGCCAGGTATAATAGATACAAATAGAAACAGCAGAAATTAAAAGCAAAAGAAAAAGAAGCAGACAATATATCTTATATATATAGCCTCTGGCTTGTAGCTCAGTTGGCAAAGGGGTGGGGTGACTTTGCCCAACTACAAGACAGGTCCTGTATTCGACCCCCCCCCCCCCCGGCAGCTAACCTCAGCCACTGAGTGAACCAAAAACTGCCCCGTCACATTGGTTCCTTTGCGGCGGGTTCCGTGTGGGGTCGGTGAGGTTGCCGATAATCAACTTTTTGCGCAAATAATATATAAGCAAGCGGTCAAAATGAACAAATAGAAGATTAAAAGAAATAGCATATTAATCCCGGCCATTCTTATGCAAAAAATATGAAAGCGGTCACATAAATTATGTTCTTGTGCAAGCAAATATAATATTGTATAGTTTAAAAAACCAATAAATAAATGCAAACCACGACACATACTTCTGAAAAAAATAACTGAAATAAATTGATACTCGCTCCATCCCAAAATGAATTGCAACATTTGACTCAACACATAGTTTAATAGGACTCACTGACTGATAACCTTAAGAAAACTTGCATAGTAAAATCAATATCATAACATCTTGTGGAGGTTGTTGATGGGCAAACGAGTACATTAAGACCAACTTCCAATAAACAATAAAACAATGCGATTTTGTGACAACACAAATAGGAAGTGTTGCATTTTTAGACAGAATGAGGATAAAGGACTCAAAAGTACTGTTATTAATCTTCATGCAACTTATGCGATTTCTACATGAAGAGACTTCATTGCTAGTCCCATTAAGCTTAAGACAAAGGATAGTTGCGCAACTAGATCAAATATCTAATTGATTGTGATTATGGGGCGTTGTAGCTCAATTGGAGAGGCTTAGGGGTCTGTTCACGGAGGTAGTCTCATTCATTTGGAGCGTCACAAGATAAGAAACCTCCACGTACTTTTGCCACCTCATCTATCTTCTTCCTCGTGCTTGAATTTGATGGTAACCATGTGCAAGTGTTGTAATATTGTTCATCAGATGTCATCATTCCCAAACACACCCAAGAAGGGAAGGAACTAACCGTTCCATGATAAATTATTAGATCCAGAAACAAACAAAAAAATGTCACATGATGAATCAGGGCCGGACATATAACAAACAAGATTCCATGTGGTCTGGATTCCATATCGTAAGCTATCTGTACATGCTACAGTCTGCTTGAAGGTGTAAAGCTAGAAAGGGCAGAAGTTGATACAATAGTGGATGCAGGGCGGAAGGTTCTTAATCAAAGGCACTCAAAACAATTCATCTCAGTTTGACAATAAAAATGGGCTGCCATATATATTTAAGGCAATTATGGAGAAAGTAGTGATGCATATTCAAAATGAAGATGTGGGAAAATCTTCAGAGACCAATATATATACTTTTTCTAAGAGAATATAACAAAATTGAAGTGACCATCGTTGTGAAGCACATTAAGAGCCTTATACAAGTTATCAATCAGCTAAAAGCAGCAGGTAAAAAGATCAGACATGGTCATGATGAACGGTCAAAAGCATTCCTTTATAGATAGTTACTGACGGAACTGTCATGGACCCAAGAGCAAACAGTCTTCTTCACAACCTTCATCCCCTCATTCCCTGTTTCCATTCACTTCATGTTCATTTTTCTATTTCTCATTACATTGGCATATTAGTTGGATTAAATTCTTTCTTTATTGATTAATCAAGTAATCATGAGTTGGCTTGACAATACTTCAACAAAACAATCCCTGAGGGGCAATTTGGGGAATTCTTCATTATTCCATGGATTGGTAATCTTTGCCTTCTTTAAAGAGGCTAGACAACAGTAGATAGCTACAAGGAAATTTACCTAAATAATGACGTCAAGGACTTGGTATCCAAATGAAAACAGCAATAGACCTTATGGAGAAAGAGTAACAGCAAAATAAAGCGTACATGCACCCTTTTAACTTCTTCAGGGATACTCATTAACGGTGGCTTTTAGAAATATGCCTAAACAAAAACACCAACTTGCTAACTTGGACATCTAGGTGAAAGGAGTGCATTGGGTGAATTGGAAGTCAAGGAACAAAATTTTGACAAAGAAAATGCAGACAAAAGCACAGACAAAGCATGAAGGTTGGCCATTCTTCATATAAAGAGAAATAATAAGATTGAAAACGAAATAAAAAAGTGCACGCTAAGAAGGAAAAGGTGGAAGCAATCTTCAACATGCTAAACATGTTTCGTATATGTGCTACTATTACATATGTGATAAATAGAGGAAAATTTAAATCTCTTCTTTCGGTAAATCATTGTAATTGGATTTCGTAACTATGATTCTTTTAACATTGAATGAAACTAGATAAAATTCTGTTTTCATCCCACTGGCACATACCAACCTAAGTTGTGTAAATCTTAATAACAATATTTTGTATCAATTTGATATCTTATTCTGCTGTCAGTTATCTTTTCAAAGTGTTTTTCTTTGATTTAATTATTTATTCAATTCAACGATATTACACCCCTTAGTTCCACAACTACCCTCCTAGCATTACTAAGATAACATCAACAAGAATATTATGCCAAACTAGTTTGGGAAGTCTAACAATGAAATTACAGAGTTACACCTCTTATGGTGTCGCACCATAAGCAATATCTTGGGATGAGCTTCTACATATAGACCTCAAAATTATCACTTTGCTACTTTATTCATGTCAATTTTAACCCCCCTCTACCTCTCCTCCTGACCTTCTCTTTGGTTCCTGAATTGTAACTGTTACATCTGAACTTGTATATCGAAGATGACAAAGCCATCCCAAATCGCACCTAAGCGTTAGCATTTCCACGTCTAACATAAATATTAAAAGCTCATGTTTCACTTATGCATCACAAGGACATAATTTAAAAGCCATCTTTAAGTCATAAATAACACAACCTAAAATGGTTAAAGAAGGTATAAGAATCTGATCATTTATCATCTACTAGAATTCACATTCCTATTCTATCTGTCCTTTTAACCCAAACGCAAGAAAAACCCTTGTAGAGGTCATTATAACCTCAAACTCCAGTGTTCTTCTAAAATGCACAAATTGTGTTATGCAGACCCTAATCATATGCCTTTGTTTGTAAGAACCAAGGCTTTTTACACTATTGATTTTGAGTAGTTCTTTGTTTATCTTCAAACTCCATTTTAGTCAAAATATAATCATGTAATGCATTAAACTTCACCAAGATTCGCAATAAACACCCATATGTTACTCTATAGTACGAAAAATCACATACTGTGGCGTCACGAGTGTCGATCCAGACTCTATCAAACTTCACAAAGCGATTATCAATTGTTTTCAGAAGAACACAAAAGAATTCCCAAAAACCTAAATATCGCAATTAAGCCACGAGTATCAAGAACAAGAAAACGATCAATCTATTAATCAGCTTAAAACTCAAAAGCAGTAATTGTTGAAACGAATGATACTAACCGAAACGCAGCAACTCAGCAATAATTGGGTAGTGGAACAGCTGATCATCAGAAAAATTGGGATACTGGGTGAAGAAATTAGGATCGGGAATGGATAAAAGGAGGAAGGAGGGGGTCGGAAGCTCACCGACTCTCGTTGATTCTGCACTTCCGTAAATTGATTATTTATAGCAAGTCCAATCTTGAAGGACTAAAATTTCATATAAAAACAACTTATTGATTTATTGTGATAAACACTTTTAAGTATTTGGATAAACAGTTTATATCGATGTTAAACCGGTAGTAAAAAGTTTTTAAAGAATTTAAATAATTCTAACTTATAATAAGTTGATAAAAACTTTTGTAGAAAAACATAAGTTGATTTAAATAAGCAATCCCAAACACCCCCTTAGCTATTGTTTATTGGGTACGTTTATCGGATATGACTTATTTCACTAGGTAAATATAATAAGGATTGACTGTCTTATATGGTAAAAGGCATCGTAAAGATCTTTCGTTTATTACACGTTTATTGGATGAGCGTTTGTCGGATGTAACTTATTTTACCAGTTGAATATGACAAGAACCGAGAGTCCTACCTGATAAAAAGCATAAGGATCGAGAATGTTATTCGGTAAGTCAGAGAGAAAACTCTTACTGAATTAGCATTTACTGCTTACATAAAATCTATTTTGAGCGAGATATAACCAATAAAGTAAATAAGAATGATGCTTCTTGATCTTATTTGAAAGAAATATTCGTTTAAACAATTATTTTAAACTAATTTTCAAAATTTTTATTTTAAACAATCAACTTCTAACTACAAAAATGGTGTTTGATTGGTTTGAGCTTGTCTCCAAAGGTCAAAAATACTTGGAGGTCTCAGGTTCAAATCCAATGAAAAATAAATATCTCCTTGTGGCAACGGAGGTTCAAATACAGTGACTTCGAGCTATCCACAAAGCAGAAGATCGTCCTGGGATTTAGATGGATTTGATTCGATTCGATTCAATCAATCATTGGATCTTGTTTGTAATCTGATTCAGTTTATTATTAAACTATAAACTATCATCCAAAAACCGATCAATCCAATTTGAATATTAAAATCTTGGACCGTATCAGATTCAATTATAATTGAATTGGTTGGTCATATTCTAAATCAGGTCATTTTTTGTACACCCCTAGAATACGCTACAACGTCCAAAACGACAATAATATACAACTGTTTAATTCAAAATTCGAACAACCGACAATAAAAAAACAAAAGAAGTGCCAAAAAAAGCACAAATTTGATTCAAAAGAGCCTTCAAGAACAGGATACAATAGTCCTCTTGATCATATATAATATGTCCCAAGGGTCAATCAAAAACTACCAAATTAATAATGAAAATTTACAAAAATAACCCCTCATTTTTTTTTTCTTTCTTATTTCTAATCCATCATGATCTGATTAATTACCAGTCCAATGTTACAAAAGATAGTTATGTTTTAATCTGTACAGAATCATTCCTACCCTATAGAAATTACCTCACTTCTCTTCACCACTGGTAGTAGAGTACTAGTACTTTGTGCTTTGATTGTTGTAACACCACCAAAGCCCTCCGTCACATTACGTCGTCTCCTTTACCGTCGTTACGCTGCCAGACACATTAAAGGTCAGTATCGTAATTATACCTGCAATGCTAGACTCCGGTGATCCTTGATTGGTACGCAGGACAGAACGGGACGGAATAGTACGAAAACTTTCTTGGCAAGGATCGAACCTGAGTGGGACAAAAATGCATGTTTTTGTCCTACCAAAATAGGTGGGACAAAAATATGGGAGACAAGACAAGATTGGTAAATTACTAAATTACTCATGTCAGGTTAAAACCCTTAAAACCTTCCACGATTCTTTCACATGTTTGCTTGTCTCAAGCTCGTCTGTACAGTCCCATCTGCGTACCAAACGCACCTTGAATCCCAACGTTTAAGTCGGGTGGAACCGTAGCTATAAACGGTCTAGAGTTTGATGACGATACCTGTTGCGGCCAAGAAGTCGGTTTGCTAGAACCACCACCCACTTCACCTACTCTCTCGCATTCTACTCCACTTGTCATATTACTTCCAAAAACACCATTGAAACCATTTCTACCGATTCTTATCCCGGAATTCAAGGCCTCAATGATCTCGGCTTTCGGCCGGTTTGAGATGGCAGGGTTTGGTCCTAAAGAGGATGGAGTTTGAGGTCGGTTCGGAAGACTCGGGTTCGCGGATGGGAAAAATGATGAGGGTGGAGGAGAAGCTTCGTTTTCACCAACGACTCCCGGACCAAACTTCACTCCGGGCGGCAAAGCTTTTTCGATTTTCTTTGAAGCAATCTTCCAGACAACAGGGCCAAGATTTGCAGCAAAACGAGCTAGGCTTCTAGCGTAACCATGCTCAGCATGTAAACCTACCTGAATTTGAGATTGGGAAAATTAATACACTCATGTCCTACAAAAATTGCAACTTTCAACAAGTGTTTTAACTATTTGTTTATATACATGAAATAATCTTACGAAAATGGCTTTTCCTTACACTCGTGTTCATTTGGTTGGACTTTAACCTAATGATAAAACAAATGAAGCTTTTAGGTACCCAGATTACTGGTAGATCCTAACCTCCATGGAATGTCAAGGGTTCAAACCTCACTGAAGATGAGAATTGTGTGCGAGTTTTGCCATGTATAAATACATACTTCAGGAAAGCATTTAGCTTGGTGGTATTTAACCCGTCAAATGGGCAGTAATATTTGGAGGTCATAGATTCAAGTTCCCTTTCTCGCCCTTGTCTTAGAAGGAAAAAGATCTTGTGGAAAAAAATCAATAGCATCAACTTGTTTGTTATGGTGATAACCGGCAAATTGCAAATTCAAACTCGAGAGCCTACCATAGAAGGAAAAGTTGCGTTTACAATAGGGAGGTGGCATTTCGGGAGAGAGAACAAATTGCGTTAGATTTACTAAAAGCTAACAAAGGTAACTATCAGGCAATGATGCAAACAATTAAAGAATTGAGAACATACCGCTAATAGCTGCTTCCTTTCCCCACCAAAGTTCGACAAAAGTGAAGACTCAAAAGCCGAAGGATGAAACTGCTTGTAGGTGTCACGCCTAGTCTCATCTATAATTAAATTTTTATTCCCATATTTCATATCGGCCTTCCGAATGCGCTCTGAAGATTGAAAATAAGTAATAAGAAACGTCAAAAAGAACAGAAGACATGATGTGAAACTGCTTCTTAACATTTTTCATGACGTGAGGTGAATCAACCGACCAATATCTTTTACAATGCAACATTTTGGGCATTTGGCTAACACCCAAAATACGGGACAGAGAGAATATATGGTAGTTTAGAGATTTTCTACCATCGATATATTACACAAGGAAGAAAATATGAAGTTCCAAAAGAAACCTGGAAACTCTTCATTCCAATCCGACAACAATTCTGAGTAATGTTCACCGTTGCGAGATCGATGTGAGGTGAGTAAACCATCAGCCTGATACCTATACAGCATGGGTGGTGCTTTTCGTAAGTTGTAAGGAGTAGACTCGGTAGTATTATCTTCAGCGGTTGCCAGCGTGGCACCTGAGGTAGACTCGGGTCCAACGCGGTCCAAAGGGGGTCTGCCAGGTGGCTTTTTTACTTGCTTGCCAGGTGGCCTTCCTCTTTTCACTACTTTTGGTTGTATCTCGCCATCTTCCCCCTCTTGCCTCAGATTTTCAAAGTCCCTTTTTGCCAACTCTTGTATAGACCTCGCCTAAGAGAATACACAACAGGAATCAAGTTCAAAAAATAACATTATTTACAGACCGATATCGTATTAGTGCATAAACAAGGTGAAGCCTACCTGCCGGAAATATATGGTATCAGATGAATTATACTGCATTGCATTAGAGCAGATCAAATAAACATCTGCCTGCAAGCACAAGAAAGAAAATATGTGAAACTACAGATATATGCAGGAAAAATATTATTAAAAAAAACCCCGCAAAGTAAACTAGTGAGTGAAACAAAGATGGCATATCTCCACCATTGGAAAGTTGAATGCTCCTTGTGATTGCATTTTGCTTAAATGAATCCTTTTTGCAAGCAAAAGAACCAAACTAATCCAGATAAATATTTGAAATGTTTAGGCCGCCATACTAGTAGCCTGAAGAGAACATTTCTTAAGGACAAAAGCATATAGAAAAATAATAGTACAGCTATGTTCACCATGTGCTAGCAAGCAGCAAAACATTCACAATCGAGAAGGAATATCAATTCAACTCTAATCATATAATTAGAATTTAGCTACATCTGTAAAGAAACAACATATGATTTATCGAGCCATTCTGAATTGCAGTTGGATGCAAATTGATGGAGGGAAAGCTAATAGTGTATTTTCACAAAGAAATGAAAGAGACAATATAGTTAGTGTTGGAGTCCCACATCGGCTAGACTTGGGCCATTTCTCCTGTATATATGTTGGAACCTCCCTTCTCATCCAGGGCTCTTTTGGAGAGTGATACGAGGGTTCCACATATTCTAACATGGTATCAAAGCCTAGTCTGCTACGCCCCCTCTTGACACACTGGGACAATTTGTGTCCATCTAGCCTCCGTTGGAGGGGGCGTGTTGGAGTTCCACATCAGCTAGACTTGGACCATTTCTCCCGTATGTTGGAACCTCCCCTTCTCCTCAAGGACTCTTTTGGAGAGTGATATGGGGGTTCCACATATTCTCACAGTTAGCACGGATAAATATGGACAGGCAGCCTGCACATGCAGACAAGTAATCCGGTCCAGGTTGTGTCCGAAAATGACCAAGAATATTATAAAGATTTTCACAAGCCTTAACAAGCTTGCTATCAATGTATGCATGTACATACATACATGAACATGGAATATATATGCATACATACACAAATGTATATATTTGTGTACATTTTTTAAACATACAGGTAATGTACAAACAACAAATCAATTGTAATGATTTCAAGTAACTCGTTAATATTTATGTTATACTATATAGAAATAGAAAATATAAGATTACGGTTACGGTTACGGTTGCAAAAGCAAATATTATCCTTTGCAACATCACACATTCACACTAACATAATATGCACTCAATGTAAGGTCAGTTAAAATGGAAAAACCACACAAAAATAGAATTAGATGTCTTAACCACATATGGGCAGAATTCCAACAATGATCGTTCAAGTAGGAAGAGAAAACACGGCAAGCACTTCAGTTGCACCGGATGTGTGGCTAGTGTCTTCATTTTGCAGCTACATAACTGTTAATGTTACTACCAAAGTAGACCCTATGTCTGAGAAAGAACTAACATATCCATGTCCCAGTCAATAGATCCTAGATAATGCAATCACACTTGCAACCATGGAGAAACAATTAGATGTTATTTTCCTTAACTGTTCGACGTTACTCTTTCTAATTCAGGGAAGAGGAAAAAAGTCTTTTTTTTTCATTGTGGCAATACATAGACAACTCCTTCAGGAATTTTTGCCAGGTAAAACAGTTCAGACTTAAAAACTATAAAGTCCCCATCGAGAAGGTGTGATATTATACCTCATATCACATATGCAGAAATGGACTTCATTTGGATAAACAAATCATGGACGATGGTCTCTCGACTCTCAGAAGAATAAATTTACACTCCCTCACACCAAAAAGCATGCATGTTACCAGCACCACCAATATACATGGCTCAACTTGAAGGATAGACTGGACAGTTCAGTGCTATCAAGGCAGGCCAACACAAGGGAACAACTGCACAATTTTATAAGTCAACAAATGTCTTTTTCCTCCTAAGCATATTGGTCACCATATTTAACTTAAAAACCACATGATACCGAACAGCAGAAATAAATTGACAGATATCCAACAACTAAAGCATAATCAACGAATACAAACCTCTAATTCTTCCAAATTTGAATAAACTCCCTCATCAAGTTTGCTTCTGACGGTACCAAAATCCATAGGTTGCTTGATGATTTCATGGTAATCAGGGAGCTGCATATGAATAAACCTCTCCATATCAGTGAAGGAACTAAGACAAAGACAGTGGATGACACTTGCAAACTTTCAAAACAAAGCACCTCGTTAGGATCAACTGGATCAGAGAATACCCCATGAGTGTCCTTCCTGCAGACCAATTTAAAGACCCATACAGGTCACTAAAATCAATAAACAGTGCAAGAAATAATGTGTATCCTATTCAAATAAGCAAAAGGAAGAGAGACGCACTTTTGAAGCCTGTCAAGAATGAACACCAACAACTTTTTATCTGGCAAAGGTGTTGTGGGTCCAGACTCCAATGGTGACCCTGCACAGAAATTAAATGGAAAACATTAGAAAACAAAACCTCGCACGATAAAATTGCCTTATATTCAAGAATATAACAAAAGGTTTTTGATTAAGACCATGTAGAGTGTCCATCGCTTTCAAAACCTTTTCACCCTACAAACATAAATCCATCAAGCATAATTAGATAATAGAATACAAATCAAAGGTTCCTCAGTAACAAAAGCACCATTCACAGTTAGTATTACAAAGCAAAGATAATAGAAAAAAAACAACCCAATGGCAAGTACAAATGAAGTGAAAGAATAACAGAGAATAACAATAATTATTAAAGAAAAGACAAATTTGAACTTTCCCCCAAGACATGATGGTGGGTGAATGTTCCTTTTATTCTGTGTATGCATACATATACACATAAATAATAGAAGTCAGAAAGATTAACAATGAACAAGAAATCAACAAAAATAATAATAATAAAATAACAGAAATTGTGTCAAAAACAGAATGTTGATAGACGTAAAGCCTCTAGATTTCACAACACACAAAAGGAAAAATAAATAAATAAATTATATATCTATCCACACATGCATCTATTCACAGGTTTTGTAGTTATGAATATGTTTACTAAAAACAAAACGTGACCTAGTCAAAACAAGTACCCCCACTACCGATCTCGAAGAAAAGAGAAGGCTGTTGAAGCACCCGCGAAAATCCAAATAAAATTTCAAAGAAGAAAAATAATGGCAAGTAAAGATATTTTCCATTCCATCAATTTTGCTATCTTTTTTAAATCTTGATATTTCTTATGCTCTAAAATTCCGCCTTTTTCCCTCAATTTTTCATATTTTAAACTCTTGACACATTATTGCACTACAAACCCACGAAAACGAAGAACGAAAATCTAAACCCTAATTTTCGAGGGCATTAATTAAAAAACCTCACCTGATGATCAGTGGCAACACCACCAGATCCGGATTTAACTTTGCGAATATCAACATCTACATTCGAATCAGAGCCGCAAGATGCCGAATTAACCGACGAGGATCTAATTAAATCAGACGACAAATGTTGTTGTTGTTGCTGATCCGATTGGGGCAAACGAACAACGAGCTTGACTTTTTTCTCTTTCCTCTCATCATCATCGTCATCGTAGTATTCTTCTTCACCAACCGAACCGATATCTCCGGAAGTAGAGTTAGGGTTCCGGCGACTGGATCTTCGCTGTTGTAATTGTTGTTGATTTTGCAATTTTTGTTGCTCTAGAGCCCGTTTCTGGAGATCTAAAAGAGATGGACGACCTTTCTTCTTCTTCTTCCCCGCCGTTGCTCCTCCACCTCCGCCTCCTCCTCCGCCTACCTTACCCATGCCTTCTCTCTCTCTCTCTCTCTCTCCCTTCTCTCGCTATCTTTTGTTTCTCTCTCCAAACAGGCCTTAACTATTTTTGTTTCATTACAATTTACAACTTCGAAATGCCACATTGTTAACTTTTGGTCCTTTAACTATTGAGTATTGACATAATGCTACCTTCAAATACTAAACCATTTACAAATCCATTAAAAAATACGAAAATCATCATCATGGAGTTTTATCTGTCACACCGTCATTTGAACTTGTTTTTTATGATGACGAAAGTTCAGATATAAATACGAACAGTTTTTGGCTCACTGATAATAAAAAAAACTGTAAAATTTACAGTAAAATGAGTAAATTGTTGCACAATTGGTGTCGGACCATCAAGACCCGAGAGATACTAAAGACGTAAGACGTATATCATACGAAAATAAGTTAACTGACAACATACAGTCATATAGTATATGATGATGTTAAAAGTATAAGGACCATTTTGATATTATTTGATCAAGAGGGTATTTGAGCAATGGATTTGGATGCAAAAAGAAATAAAAATTTGTAACCACAAAGGTGGTGCCTGATTGTTTTGAGCTTGACTCTAAAGATCAAAAGTATCTGAAAGTCTCAGGTTCAAATTTAAGGAGGAATAAAAATCCTCTTTGGCCACGGATGTTAAAATATGGTGACTCCGAGCTATCTGCAAAGCAGGTGATCGTCCTGAGATTAGTCAATTCACATAGCGGATTGGATATCCAGGTTAATATAAAAAAAATAAGAATTTGTGATAAATAATATAATTAAATTTATGGAATAACAACTAATTTTCATGAGAAATTTGTATTATAATTTTATTTTTTTCTTACAGCAATATATTTTTTTAAATTAATTTTTATTACAATATTTATAATGTATTATGTTATGTTTTCTTTATAAAAAAAAATGACTTGACATATTATATAATATATTAAATTAATTATAGAGATTTTAAAGTATTCATTAATGCAACAGTATTAAGGTTTCTGACGTGTAACAAAGTTGGTAAAAACGTGTAGTGACTTTATCTAAATACAAAATAGGTCTTGGCTTCGGTTAGCAGGGGCTTGATATCGAAACCGCTAAGTCAAAAAAATTGGTTTCGATATCAAGCCCCTGCTAACCGAAGCCGCTAAGTCAAAAAAATGTCTACTTACGTTGATGTGCTTGGAGGAGGGTTCCATATAAAGCCAGTTGGGGTTACTAGTATTGAAGTTTTTGCCCAAATATAACAATATTAAGAATACTTTTTATAATACAATCTATGTTGCTAACATTTAAAAGAAAATGTTTTAAAAAAATAAAAAATAAAATGTATTCTTTGAACAAATATGAACCGTCTGGAGGAAAATTGAGAAAACCGTTAGAAAATTCCAAAACGTTTATTTGTTTATTTATGTCAATTATTAGAATGACGTGTCAATTGTAAATAAAAAAAAGTTAACCGATTCAAAAAGTAATAGATTACTCATTGATAAAACTAGCAGATTTATCAAAATATACTATCTTAACCCAACCCGTACGGGTTGGTCGGGTTGATACTTTGGTATATTAAAATATTCTTCTAATATTGAATATGTTATTTCTCTAATCATAATTTCTTTTTCATCATCAATCATTTGATACAACTTATCCATATTTTTTACGTATATCACATTCAATTAATTTTCTCAATTTACATATATATATTCACAGTTACTAAACAAAGTTATATATAGATATGAATAGATTGAAAATATGTGTATATGAAAAGCATACATGATAGTGTAATTGTCTAATGTATATATTAAAAAAAATTCAACAATCATATTAAATCCAAGAAATAAAAGGATATCGGGTTCATCGGGTTGGGTTGGGTTCAAATAATAGTAACTCAATATCAACTCAATACCTACGGTTTGACAATTTTACAACTCGATTAGACATCGGGTTGCTTCAAGTTGGGTTATTTCACGTTGGGTTGGGTTAGGTTAGGTTGATCGGGTTTTAGAACACCCCTAACTAGGAATATAGCTTTCAAGTATAAAACATCAAGTTTTTTATTCACAAGAAAATAAAATAATTTTATCAAAAGTATTGATTTGTTGTTTCACAAGAATAGTATTGATATGTTTACATTATTATAAGTGGTAAAATTATCGTTTTAAAACTTTAAAAGTGATCAGGTCTATTAGCCAGACTATACCGTAATCGGTCCTTGTAGATATTACATTGATATGGACTTTTCGTATTATCGTCCTTTGTGTATTGGGTCCTTTTTGGGCTAATCCTAGTCCCCAGACCCATTTGTGCATCTTCATAGCGATCGTCAAAATGGGTCTGGTCCGGCCCGGGATCAAGACCGGGATTGGTTATATTTTTACAAAAATTAAAAGCCCGATCCAGCCCTACTCGATTTGAGACTGGTTTCAGGATGAGAATACGGATCAGGACCGATTATCCATAGGCTGGTTTTTTTTAAAAAAATATAAGTTTTTATAGAGTTTCAAGTTTTTCATGATTTCTATATGATTTTCAAGTTTCTTACCAAAAATTTCAAGTTTTTTATTCAAGTTACTCAAGTTCTTTTTGAAGTTTTTTTCTAAGTGTTTCAGTATTAAATTTCAAAAATATAAAAACGTGTATAACATTTATGTGTAAAAAAGATTTAATTTTATTTTTAAAGTGTATCTGAATGACCAAGATGTAGATTTTAAAGTGTATTGCAATAAGATTTTGTCCAAAAAAAATTCTTAAAAAAAATCTTCAAACATGATTTTTTATATGTTTAAAATTGATTTTGAAAAAGAAAAAAATGGGGACAGATTTGGGCCCCGCGGAGGACCGGCTCTAGGGACCGGGCTTTATACATGGAGAATGGGCCAGGTGTTTTTGGTTGGAACCGCGATCGATTACCATGAAGTTTTGAGGTATGGTTAATCACTTATTCCCACTAGATTTTAGCGAAATGACATTAATATTTTCGCATATTCTTATTTTCATCGTCGATTTTTAATCAAATGATATCTAAATGTTTGAGACATAATTTGGATAACTTATAAATCTTTTGTTGACAGGTAAATATGTTCAACTTTCAAGATATCGTTGCCCACAAAATCAAGATGTGGCTCGATGCATTGCATGAGTACGCTTCTAGTATCTCATTACACTTCAGTTTCTTTTGTAATTTTCATATTTTTGTTAAAAAAAATTAAGTATGCATCTCGGTCTTATGCCTTTTTATATACAAATGTCACAATTTCACCGTTCACCAAAATATTGAACGCAAAAGTCGAGCCAATATATTTGATGAGTTTATATCATGAGGATGCGTTTTATGTTGCTTTCCGAAAGCAACGAAACTACCCTTCTCTTTACCAATTGCTTTTCAAACGTAATGATTACCCTCATTCCTGAACAGTCAAATCATTTGTAAAGGTTGGTTCTCAACTATTTGTTTCCGTTACGTCAAAATCGTATCTTTTTTATCTTTGGCACCTATCTTTACGTTAACAGACGAGTCAGATAAGGTGACGTTATGAATATCATATGTCGGTTGATATATGAGATGTTATGTTTATCGACCACCTTTTTGAATGAACATGAGGATTGATGTCAGTATATACACATATTCAAGTCGATTGTCTTTAAGAAGTTTGACGTAAGGGGAATTTAGCTTTTATTGATTATGTTGATTTTCATTCTAATTGTCAAAGTAGCTAACGAGCTGTCATTTTATGATTTCATTACACGTTTAATGATAGTTTCTAGTTTGAAATCAAACAATTAAGATGAGCTTTACAAATGAATTATAACGTTGCCATAAAAAATTGAAGGGGACAACTGAACCTGCTAATAGAGATGTCCATTTGGATCGTGCCATTTAGACTAGATAAAGACTGGACCATGACGTCATCAGTTCAGACTAGGTTACACTGACCAGAAATTTATATAACAAGATTGGTTGTTAACATAGAATGATCAGTAATTCGTTTGATATTCCTTTACATTTCTTGTATTTGCCATCTAGATCTGTTTAGACACATTTTTACAAGTATTGAAGCCCACAATTGCCTTACTATTTATAGTAAGCTCAAGTATATATATATATACACACACACACACACATTGAATCATTTAAGTTGTGACATACTGGTTAAGGCTTTAGGGATGTAGTGAAAATCTCATATCTTTTTGTGGATTTGAATCCAGGTGCCAACAAAGTCCTTCTGGCCATGGAAGTTCACTTGCGATAACTCCAGTCTCCAGACCATTCATGTTCGCTCAGGGGATCAGTCGGTGAGCGTAAACTGACTCGGATACCCACGATTTCTCCAAGAAAAGTATATACGTCGCATCCCAAACCCCACATTCGTATTAGATACACCGAGCTCATTCTGTTTAGTTTGTCCCGTGGTTTTGAGTGTAATGTTTTGGATTTAGAGGGGGGTAAAGTGTAAGTTTGTTTATAGTTTAGGGTTAGAAAATATTATAATTGTATTGATGATTAAAGGATAACCGAAGGCAATTGGATAATTCCCTTTCTTGTTCTCTCGTGAGCTTTTTTGCCTTTACGTTGTACCAGAAAATGCCAGCTTAAGACGACGACGTTTGCACCATTTACGTGTCATCATCTTATTGGTAAGAGGAATGTGGATCCCACTTGTAAACGTGCTCGAGGTTTTTGTGTGCGTATAAAGAAAATTATTCAACGATTTATAACGTGCTAAATTAGATAAAATAATATTTTTAATGCTTATTTTAAACAATTTAATTCTAATAGAAAATAAAAATCGATTTCTTTAATACGAAACTAAAGTTGTTCATGGACAGGACGGCCTGTTAGACTCGACCCATCCGTCCCGTTATAAATACGGGTTTGGACAACCGTTATTGAAAAAATGGACGGGCCCGTCCGACCCGTTTATATTTTATAATTAATATATTTTATTTTTAATTAAAAATTATACTAGTGTATTTTAAAATTAAATTATTGAAGTTATAGGATGAGAGTTGGGACTCTTTGGTTTTTCTTGAGAACCCAAAAAACTCTACATTATCTTTGTTATAAGCCTTATGTCAAAAGTCCTAATCGATGAACAATGGATAAAGCTAGTAGTTGCTTAAATTTTTAATTGCAACGGTGTTTTTCCTTAATTTTTGGTTTCATATTTGTTAATTAAGAACTATACTTTTAGGTTCGTTAACCCATGGGCAAGCTCGGCCCGTTTATAGGGCGGTCAATGGCAAGTTGTCAAGCCTGAAAAAAAAGGGTTTGATTTTACAATATTAGACCTTTTGGACAAAAAAAAAAGTTAGGTCCGGCTCAGGCCCGTAAATGATCACTTCTATACGAGACGATATATTATAGGGAAAATAGTTATTTCAAATCGGGTTTCACGTCTTATTTATATAAACATGTACAGTTCATATAATGATGTAGGTCGGGTTCACGTGACACCAATTTATTTTCGTAAAAACACATTTTTACATTTAAAACTTTATAGCAAAAAATTGTGAAGGTAAAAAAATCCGAACGTTCAGAGTGTTTTACTGTAAAGTTTCAAGTGTAAAAAAAGTGATCTAATGGGTCTCACGAAAACAGTTTGGTCTTACATGATCCCAAATCATGATAGTGTTTCATATATAATATATTCATAATTGTTTTGCATGTGAAAAAACACAAACATATATTTTATATATGAGACAAACATTAATACACACATACAAGAACAAAATATTTAAAATAATATGAATTATAGTTTAAAATCAAGGTAACCGTAGAAAATATGTAAAGCTACATATTTAACGTCATAATCAATAGTATAACCATGTTATGTGATCCATAAGACCGCCTCCATCAAAACAAAAAGGTATTTCAAACGGTCCAAATGACCAATTGATCGTTTCTTTGCTCTTTGACATCAATCATTCTAGTCGATCAGACAAGAAACCACATATCATCAAATGCAATCTCATTTCATCCTTTTCTTTATAGTAGGGGTGGAGCAACGGACGGGTTGGGTCGGATCAAGCCCAAATCTACAAACTCGGTCAGGTTTCGAGGGAGAATATTGGAACCCAAACCCCGGACTTTGTAGACAAAACCCACATGTTTCAGGCTAGTTCGGGTATCGGGTGGGCCGTCGGGTAGGTCGGTATCCAATCTCTCCCTCCCTCCCTCCTGACAACTGTTCAACAATGGGATATTGGGATCGCTTTGACGATCACCTCCAACCTTATTCTTTCGGGAAAAAACTGTTGACCACACTTCCTTTCATTGATTGATAGGCTCAATTTTTGTCTGTCCTTGAGATAGTGATGGCCAAATCGGCCCGGCCCGAGACCGCCGGAGGATTGGAACTGGTAAGGACCGTTATGATACCGAAAACCGAGACCAATTGAGGTTTTTGGCAGTTTCGTGGGACCGGGACCGGTTATGGACCGGTCCAGCCCGACCCGAAAATTCAAATAATTTTATAAATAAATGTATTTTTAAATAATTTTATAATATATTTTTTTAAGACAACATAATTTTAATTATATTAAAATGCATTTTTAAAGTGTATTTGAGTGACCTAATTACAAATTTTATAATGTATTAAAAATATATATCACTAATTTTTTTTAAATATTATTTTTTAATGCCGGGACCGGGACCGGTTACGTTAGGACGGGTTATGGCCGGTTACGAGAAAGCTTGGGACCGATTAGGCCCGGCCCGGGAGCGGTTTTTGGCCATCACTACCTGGAGATAAACCTAATATCTTCCGGCCAAAACTATTGAGCGCTTCCTTGTCGTCGTTTCGACTTCATTTGCCAAATGGAGAGACCAAGGGAGTAATTTTTTAAGGGAAAAAATTAATACACTATAGGGTGGGTCGGGGACCGAAACCGTGATACCCAACTCGATCCTACTTACCCACAGGAAATTACGGGTTAATGGTATCGACTTTAATTGGGTTTCGGGGTCAGGTATTTTGCTTAATTTCAGGCTGGGTTGGGTCGGGTATTCAGGTTGGACGAGGTTTGCTTACCCTACTTTATGGTGAGAAGCGTAAGAAGAGACATTCACTCGTAGATCAATCATAATTGAACATCAACACTAATGAGATGCACCAGATTAATTTCCTTCTAAAACGCAATTCATGAGTGAACATGAAATTAAAAAAAGAGATATTTAAGAGTATAGGTATAAATTTTAACAAAATTAGTGATTAAGGATCATTTTTAGAATAAAACTAACACCACAAGAATAATTTCTAGAACCGTAAAAGTTTAGATCTCACTTTTAACTTTTTTTTTACTAAAGGGGTGTTTGGGATTGTTTATTTGAAACAACTTAGGGTTGTTTGTTTACCTCTTAAAAGTTACATTAAGAGACAACATCTGAATCGTTAAGATGTAAATATTGTTTGGTAAAAAAAAAGTCTGTCCCTTAATGGTTTTAAAACCCTTTAAATGATTTTGTATCATGGGTCCCCTTAACCATTCGGCACCGTAATTTCATGGTAAACAATTATCAAATAATTATATTTCATTTTACACTATATCACAAGAGCCTTTTAATTATTTTGCACTAAACCAAACAATCCTATACTTTTCTACAAAAATCGTTATCAACTTATTATAAGTTAGAATAATTTAACTTCTTCAAAAACTTCTTATTACCGGTTTGACACCAATATAAACTGTTTATCCAAACATTCAAAAATGTTTATTACCGATGCCGCATCAAAATAAGTCAATAAGCTGTATTTATAAGCTACCCCTAAATTTTATTAGGCTTTCCCGTTGAATTTTGAACGATCTCAAGAGGGCTGTTAACCAAGCCCTACTTGCCCGTTACCTGACCTGAATTACATAATTATGGAGAAGAAAAGGTGTTCCGCTTCGCCTTCGCCGACCACCCACTGATGACTTCTCGCTGCCGTCTTCTGATTTTCCGACCACCGCTTGACTAAATTCTAGCAATTCATTTGGTGTAAGTTAAAAGTCTCCCGTCTTATTCCAATCCATCAATTCTAGAAAATATGTTTGTACCCTAACGAAAATACGATTGCCAGTTTGGGCTTCCCTCCCCCCCTGAGGGACGACCATTGCTGAACGCCGGACACCGCCGAGTGCTTGCCGCATCCTCCTGGACACTCAATTTTTCACCATAAAGAGGGTAAATCAATTAATCATTCATGTATTATGTTTATTTTCAGTTTAATCTAGTTTTTTTTGTTTGGGGTTTAAAAAAGAAACCCTAATTCCATCGGTTTCATTGAAGTTATTTGGTTACATGAGTTCTGTTTCTTCCTTTGCAAATTGTAATATCCTATATTCCTAATGCTTCATGCTGAATTATAGACCACACTTACTGTCAATTAGTTTACGGTTATTTACTTTTTGCAGCCTGAAAATTGACACCCATGGGTTCTTGCAAAAACTGCAAATCCAAAAGCCTAATCACCGACAGTGTAACCGGGAACCTAGAGTGCTCCTCTTGTGGCGTAGTTCAAGATTTCGACAACTATGAGCAGCAAACGTTCAATGCTGACGGACCAATTGGTACTAACGTGCGATTGGGCACATCTGGATCCTGGCATGATTATTCCTACCGTGAAACCAAGATTTACTTGGCTCAAAAGATTGTCTCGGATATATTATTAAAGCTTGATTTAGAAAACAGGGTTGATGAGGTTAATAACATGATCAAAATCATAACTGAAGAAGAATACGGTTCTGGTAATTGGTTCAATGTGCTTGTTGGCGCATGTATTTATGTGGTTATGCGAAAAGCGAACAAGTGCTTACCTTTGACGAGTGTCTGTAATTGTGTCGGTTGCGATAGTTACGAATTAGGTCGGATGGTGTACCGTGTTATCGACCATCTTGATCTCCGGTTGCCGGATTTTGATATAGTGGGTTTGTTTGATAGAGTGATTAAAGAATGGGTTGGGTGCAGGAGTAATATTAGTAAAGATAAAGTGGGGAGGATGGTGAAACAAGGAATTTTCTTGCTTCAATGTATGATTAAGTGGTATGTAACGACCGGGCGGCGGCCGGTGCCGGTGGTGGTGGCGGCGATTGTGTTCGTTTGCGAGCTTAATGAAGTTGAGGTTAGTCTCGAGGATTTAGCTAGTCAGTTGAATGTGGCGGCCGGCACCTGTAAGTTGCGGTATAAAGAAATCTTGAAGAGATTAGTAGATGTTGCAAAAGTTCATCTGCCATGGGGCAATGATGTTTCTGTTAAGAATATTATGAAGAATGCTCCGATTGTTATCCAATATATGGAGATGAAGTCGATGTGTAACCCTGCAAAACAAATCAAGACTTTAGAGGAGGTGGGTATGGATTTGGATGGTTTAGTTGTTGATAGTCTAAATAAAGGAGATGAAAATCACTCGATTGAAGATTATACGCATAATAGGTCACAAGGTTCAACTTATTGGGCAAACGAGGATTTGGAGAGGCTTAACGTTTCATCCGAATGCTTATCCACGATTTACTTGAAGTACTTGGATGAATATTCTAACGTGAAGACGTCAATCCAGGGAATAGACAATAGAATGACAGAATGGACTTCAAAATCTGATTTTTGTATGGATACAAGGGACTTCTGGTGTGGAGACTCAGAATTAAGCAAGAAGCTTTTTCTCAATAAAATATTGGAAAAAGACGTTGGATTGAACGCTATGCCTCCATCTTTTGTTAAGGGATGCTTGAAAACCCAGAGGAGAAAAGAAAAGATAGAGGCTGCTAAGAGGCGGATAGTGAAGATAAGGCGGCCATCGATGGCTGCAATTGAGAGTGCTGATCTGTGTGTAAGACTTCCTGTTTCTTCTTCAAAGAGAAAACGGCGAGATACTGATTGGGAAGATTTTGTCATTGAAACTCTGCTACTTCATCAAGTGAAGGAAGAGGAAATAGAGAAAGGGTACTACAATACCTTGTTGGATCTTCACGTTTTCAACTCTGGTACCTGTTAAATTACACATCCATGTAAATACTTTGTCGATTTTGCATTATTGAACAAAGGGTATACATATATTTACATTTATAATGCATATCTTAGACGATTTTGTGCCTTCGAGCTATATATATATATATATATATATGTAATGATTTCCAAATGTTTTTGTTGGTTTCTAGTGTTGCCTTTGTTTCTTTTAGGAGACTATTCGAATTCATTTGGCATGTCACATTCGGGCAAATAATCAAATGTACTAATTTCTTGTTGATGATTAGACCCCAATACCAACTCGGAGACTATTTTGATCTTTGAAATTTGTTGTATTGTGCTTGTGGAGCAATGGAAGGTGTGTCAGAGTCCTACATCGGCTAAACATGGACAATCAAACCTCATGTTAGGATATGTGGAACCTCTTTGAATCACTATCTAAAAGGGCTCTTAGGGTGCATTTGGTACACAGATTGGACCAGACTGGACTGGCGAGACTGATGTACGCTGGTGAAACAACTGTGCAAAGTTTTAGGGTTTTAATTTTGACATAGGTAATCTGGTAATTTACCAATCTTGTCTCATCTCCCTGATTCTTGTTCCACCTTTATGGTGGAACTGTGGGACAAAAAAAGATGCATTTTTGTCTCCCTCAGTCGTGTCCTGTCATGTCTCTAAATGTCGCATTCAGAGAACAGTTTTTGTTCTAGCGTGTTCCACGTATCAAACACACTCTTAGAAAGTGGGGAGGTTCTTAGATATATATATATATATATATATATATATATATATGCATGCTTTGATAGTTCGTGTGCTGATGTGGGACTCCAACAAGGTGAAAGGGACATGAAAAAGTTTGCAGCTGTTTCTGATGCTTCTCTATTTGTACAAGTTCCTCATTCCTTGTAATCTAGCAGTCGGGCAGCATATGAACAGCATATGGACTTAAATCAGCTGGTAAGCATTGGTCATGATCATCTTTAACTTAAAATGCATTGAACCCTTGAAGATTGGATTATGTTATTTAGCGAAATGGTAATGAATGGAAAAATTAATCGATTCTTTTGTTTATATATACACAAAGTTTACTTTATTGTTCGGTGGCTTCTGAACTCTTGAAGAACAGTTGACGGGAAGATTATTGGAACTGCGCAACAGTTACCAAAAGAAGAAGCCAAGCTGCTTTAGCCCAGGTAAGAATCTCTGACCCTACTTTTAAGCGGGATATACTGTGAGACATCTTTAGCTTAAAAGGAATCTTATTCATATGTTTCCAGCTTAATCGCTGATCTCTTTTTGTGTGTTTTAAGGTTTTATTAGATTTTAATCAATCTCTCTTGCATCGATCATCATAATTATACGGTTTTGGTAAATTTTTTGGGTTTTTAGTTCACATTTGCATTGATCATCATAATTACCTTTTCTTGTTGTTTGACAGAAGTTAAAGACATATTTGTCGAACTTCATTGAACAGTGAGTTCCTGTTCTGTCCCATGCTGCGCCAAACATGGGACAGTGGGTTTTGTCCCGTCCCGTCCCATGTACCAAACGCAGCCTATAAAGATGAACTGTTTTTGGATTGTTCTTGGGTGCATAGTTCTTTATTAATTGAAAAATTCATTTTATTTTGTTTAAACATGAATATTGGATTTTTATAACGAACAATTGCATTAACTTTTTATCAGTGTTCTAAAAGGCTTGCCATGACAGCCACGACAGCATGCTATGGCCTAATACTAGCCCATGGGAAGACGTTATTTGATGTGCAATTTTTGTCAGGTGTTTTTTTGTCTTTTTAGCGTCTTACCTTCTGATTCTTTGTTATAATATAATTCAAATTATTTAATATCATTAATTCATTGAGTAATAATAGAAAACATATGTGTACATGGAATTGTGTTTGTGATTAACAGATTTGTTGCCGTAAGTCATGCCTTGAAAACGTTACGAGTTTACAACAAATCAATACGTTGGTATTTAGCACTGGTTATATTGATTAGGATTTCTGATTTTATTTCAGTTTGTATAAGTTAGATAATGTGTTTTCGTTATCATTGTTTAATAATTTGGGACGATGTAATCAATTCCTTGCTTGTGTTCAATGAAGTTTGACCAAAAGTGAATCTAACTTTTGTATCAGTTCCTTTTATTTCTATAATGTACTTGATTACATCCTGTTGTATCACACGGGTAGAAAATTACTTATTACTAAAAAAGTAACATAAAAATGGGAGGAGAGAACCTGCAACGAACAATGGTGCAACCTTCGAAAAGCTCGACACATCGGCTGCAATTAGGGTACCTCATGCATTTATTCATCTCCAAAATAACATTCGAAGCAACATTGTTTTGATCCATCATCTTCTTACTCTCCTCGCACATATATCTGACGTGTCATGGAACCTTGCACCGTAAAGGAAACGGTTTCTGGTAACCAGTGCACACACATCTCGTTCATAATCAATTCTGAACAATATTTGTTTACGGCAGTAAAACCCTGTCAAGCTTTCGCACCTCCGTTTACATAATACAATGCACCATTTATGGAACAATCGGTATGCGATTTTCAGATGACATGATAAGGGTTTGAGAGAGTGATTGAGGTCATATTCGGTCATTTGATATCTGATACGAAATCCTTTCTAAGATGGTTTTTTGCCAAAAGCATACAGACTCAAAAGCTCCACAGCTTTATAATCCGGTAAAAGTGGCATATCATAAATTTCATCCACTTTATGACATGTAAAAAGGTTGGATTGAGTAATGAAAATACTAAAATACTGATCCAATGTCAACAATTTTGACCTAAAAAACAAGATGTTAAATTATATTGTTCATATAAAGAAGCTTTGATGATTACCTTTCATCCGACTAATAATCATGTAAATCTAATATGAATGTCCATCCATTTTTTTCAATTCAGAGCAGTCCTCAAGGGTGAGGAAAAGGGAAACCAATTGAAAGGAGTAATTATTTCAAGTCGTCTCGTTTAAGGTACGAATTCCTAAACCTTTTTGTTCATATAATTCGTTTAAATATGTTTATGAACCCGTAAGCTTTCGTTTAACTCATGTTCATTCAAATTGTCCCTTCCCACGTATTTCCAGTCACTCGTAATTACATGTGGATCTGAAGTCCAATGTACAGGCCTGTGTGGCCATATATCTGGCACTTGTTCTATCAGTTGATATACAAGTGTATGCTTTTTTCGAGCTTGATTTGTCCCTTCATTTTTTACTCGTCTGATTACGATATTTAACGGTTTCTTTAAGATTTTGTACCCGTATTGGCGGTATTGCCTTACATCTTGAACCCAATTTTTGCATGCTAGTAATACCTTTTTGTACTATAATTGTTTATCCGTGCACCGCGCATTTGGCTTAGCCGTGTTTCCTTTTCTTTCTCACAGCATGTAATTAAAGGAGGTTGCTAAGATTTCGGGAAGGAGAGTATACGAGGTTCGATTGCAAGATGTTATAAGAGGTTTATTGATGTTTCTGCTAGTATTTGATTTCTTTCATCTGTAATTAGACTAGCGTTTTTTTTTTGAAGACTATGTTTGGTTTTAGTTGAATTATTTGGTTTGTTGGAGTATTAATTCTATTGGAGACTTTATTTTGGAGGTATTATATACATGTTACATTATGTTTGAAGTAACTCCCCTTTCCTTTGGAATGGGGGCGTTACAGATAAACTAGCCGAAAAACAAACTGTTGCATACTAAAGTAGCTGATGAATGAGTCATATTTGGTAAAAACTAGTTGATAGGTTAGATCGTAATGTTACATGATTTAAACAAACATGTTGAAAATTAACTGAAAGATATTTGGAAAAAATTTAAAAGTTAATTAAAACAAATTAAGAATACAAATCAGAGACAATTTTCATTACATATAGTTATGATACTAAATATAAATTACAATTGTGAGGGAAAAATGACAAAATTATATTACAATCAATGACATCCAAGCTTTGACATATGCATCGCCACAATACATCTTTGTTAATCAGACTACCTACCACGACCAATTGAAACTTCGATTATTCGAGAACATGCGGATGGCACCTCCTTCTTTTGTTGGAGTTGGGAGCTCTTGAATGAGACTGAAATTCGTCCCTTCTTCTATATCTTCATCAAAAACAAGTCTAAAACCACATTCTTTTACCTCAAVATCATCACCGTGTTCAATCGAAAAAGTAACAAAATTCTTTGCCTCCGACCATCCAATATCAATCCAAGAACTAAAACAAAACCATATGATATCTAACTTAGGGATTTTAGTGGAACCATATATAAATCGATGGTCGTCAACCAAAGAAGTCCCATCAAAGTTGTCCACATGATAGCATGGTAAATTGTTGTAATTGTAGTGACCAAAACAAGACATTTTCGACGTCAAAACAACACAAAATCCATATCCCCTCAACTTCTTGTAGCAGAAATTTGAAGGCAAATCGACCTGTAAGTGATTTCCCATACTTGTATCTGTAAGCCATTGTGGAATTCTATTTCCATGATATTTTATATCCAAAAGGTAATTGTCTTGTCCACCGAAGATTCCACGTGTGTTAGTCGGGAACGACGTAAATTGAAGCAAAGAAGAAATTTCGTTTCTACAACTATAGGAGGTTATAGATAAGTTAAGATCAAGTGGAGGCTGACACATACAAAACTGGCTTTCAATATTTTTAAACAATTTTGGACAACCGACAAAACTCATGGATGAGGATGATTGAATATTAAAATTGTTAGGTGAATGCAAGGAGGGGCAAAAAAATGCGAAAAGAAACTCAAGGTTAGGGGGAAGTTCTGGAAGCATTTCCAGCTTCTTGCAATTAGAAAAGTATAAATCTCTAAGACGATAAAGTTGACTCAGACATCCAGGTAAGCTAGTAAAGTTGTTCCCTTTCAAGTTTAGAGATTCTAGAAATGATAAGCCTCCAATGCTATCAGACACTTCCAATATATTGCAGTCGCTAAGATTTAATTCTCGTAAGAAACATAAATSYGCCAATGAAGGCATTACCAGACTTTGGGGATGTTGCATCTTACTTGGAAACCATGAAAGTTGAGAAATTGAAGCCCACCAGCTAGACCGCTTCTCTTCACGTTGACCAATTTCCAGTACTTGAAGGTTGCATTGAGAGAATACAAAACAAGGAAGCTCAGTTATGGCGGTTCCATCAATAGAGAACTCCCTCAACGTCTGGATTGTGCTGAAGGATTCGGGAAGTTTGTCCAGTTTTGAGCAACCCGAGAGATTCACAACTTCAAGAGAATCCATTTCGACTTTGCAGGGGAATCTCCTAAAACGCTTGCAATATCTCATATTTAGAACAACAAGCTTCTTAAGCATTCCAAAAGATGGGTGGACTTTCACCAAGTTAATACAACCTTCAAGAATTAACTCTTCAAGATTTGTAATACTTGTGAAATCAGGGGTACTTGTAAGGTTATGACAACCCCTTAGCTTCATCACTTTCAACCTTGCAAAANGCCAATGAAGGCATTACCAGACTTTGGGGATGTTGCATCTTACTTGGAAACCATGAAGGTTGAAAAATTGAACCCCACCATCTAGACCGGATCCTCTTCCCATGTCGACCAAATCCCAATAYTTGAAGGTTGTTTTGAGAGAATACAAAAGAAGGAAGTTCCGTTATGGCGGTACCATCAATATAAAACTCTTTCAAAGTCTGGATTGTGCCAAATAATTCAGGAAGTTTATCCAGTTTTGAGCAACCCGAGAGATTCAAAACTTCAAGAGAATCCATTTCGACTTTGCAGGGGAATCTCTTAAAACGTTTGCAATATCTCATATTTAGAACAACAAGCTTCTTGAGCATTCCAAAAGCTGGGTGGACTTTGACCAAGTTAATACAACCTTCAAGAATTAACTCTTCGAGATTTGTAATACTTGTGAAATCAGGGGTACTTGTTAGGTTACGACAACCCCTTAGGTTCATCACTTTCAACCTTGCAAAACACTAACATCCGATACAAAAATGTCGGTACTCAAATCATGGGGTGTTAAAGAAAGAAGAAATTCAAGAACGAATAATTACCTTAGGCCTCGTCCAAAGAGTTTTTAAGTASCTATAAGACAAGTCAATGACCACAATGTTTTCTGGATAAAAATCCAAAGGGAACTCGAAAGGGCATCCACTCCAATAAAGCAACGTTAGCTTATTCGATAAAGCTTTCAACCTTCCAGAGTATTTCACCTTAGAGTCCTCCCAAAAGTTTTCGAGTTCCCCATAAGAAATTTTTAGGATCCGCAGATTTTTCATATCTTCAAACGCTTCACCGTGTATGTGAACGTTTCGACTAGATTCCTTTRRAGAAAGGTCAAGAACTTCCACTCCTTCTATTGCCTAGATACAAGTAATCAGATTATCATATTCTGAATATTATGGAAACGTATAACTTATTACTTAAACTATGTATTAAGTTGAAAAAAGAATCATATGCCAATTCTTACCTTATTTTTGCTCAAKACATTACGAAACTCTGATAAATTCCACAGTCTGCTCCACACTTCCTTTACCACAAATTCCTCATGTATAATTCTCCTTGCCATGCTTTGAATCAAGTCATGCATTTGAAGTGAATTATTATCTTGAGATATCGTAATAAGTGACTTATCTAGTAGAACCTCGATATTAGCATGTGCACTGCTTCCTAGTACACTCRCCGTAAAATCTTTATCTTCCCCAATGAACGAGCAGGCGATATCAAGAAATATGTTTTTCTTATCGAAGTCTAGCGCATCAAAACTTGGTCTAAGCTTTTGTTGTATCTCTGCATCAGGATATTTTTGGAGTATACCCACTTCGCTTTGCCACACATCCATAGACTTGCCATACAAATGACTACCCAAAACTATAAGAGCCAATGGGTGCCCTTGCAAACACTTCAGAACGTGATCAGAGAGCACCATGAAATCCCCTGTAGGATGCTTATGGCGAAAAGCATACAAATGAAAAAGCTCCCTGGCTTTATGAATTGGTAAAAATGACATGTCATGAATGTTATCTACTTCATGAGACCTTAGCAACTGTTTGTCTTTACCGGTGAAAATAATAAAACTTCCGGGGCAAAACCAATCATGGGAACCGGCTAATGCTTTTAACTGCTCCCGATCATCCACATCATCCAGAACAAGCAAGATCGGCTTAGATGCCATCCTCTCCTTTATTAACTTGATTCCATCACTCACATTCGTTAACGTTTCAACTCTTGTTTTCAAGATGCTATTAATAATTTGCATTTGGACTTCTGTTATGCTTTTATGTTTTGCTACTCGTTGGACATTTTCAAAAAAACAGCATCCCGTAAAGTCCATACACATCTTGTCATAAATAGCTTTGGCAAGAGTTGTCTTCCCTACACCGCTAATACCACATATTCCAAGCATGTGCACCTTACCCGGTCCAGTGAAGCGTGACAAGTCCATTTCCTCGATCTGGTCATCCACCCCTACGAGCTTGTCACCAACATCCAAGGATTTAATTTTACATGTCCTATCAAGGATTTCTTTGGAGATATAATCAATGAGCTTGGACTCATACCTGTTGGCCAAAAAACCGCAAAAATAATGAAATATGTTGTATATATATGGTGTCGGTTAATTTGAATTGGAAAATAAATCATTGTACTAAAAAGAAAATTACCCATTGGCAAAGTCTTGGAGATCACAACCAATAATGTCGGTAGCCTCGCGTAAAGCTTCCTTCCATATGGCAACCTGTTCGGTTGTATTTGAACTTTCATGTTTGATGAAGGCTTCCGCATAGCTCCCAGTTTGTTTCCTCACTACATCAGGCTTTACATCATAAAATAGAATTCGGACCTCATGTTTGGGCTCCCCTGCTCGCTTGCACTCGAGGATTTTTGTGAGTTCCCTCAAACACCATGACGAAGATGCAAATTTTTTGGAGAAGACAACTATCAAAAACCATGATTCTTCAATGGCTTTGTACAGTTCAGGAGGCAGCTCTTCTCCTCTCAGCTTTTCGTCATCATCTCTGAAAGCATTAATTCCCTTTTGTTTGAAATCTTTGAATAGATGATCCATGAAGCTTTTACGGATATCCTCACCTCTAAAACTTACAAAAACATCATATGTCCATCGATGTTGAGAGGATGCACTCGTACTAGCCATTATCTATAATCACAGATGGGTTTACATGTAAAAATTAGCAAAAAGAATAGCTTAAAAACATTACGAAACATTCAGACCCAAAAAAATCAACCCGAAAAGAAAAAAAGTGAAAAGAGCATCAAAGATTTTCATTGGYCAAGTTCTATTCACATCGGTAAGTAATGAAAATCGAATAGAAGTAAGAACCTGTTACATGTTACAGGGTCAGATATTTGAGCTCAAAAGTTGATACAAGATTTAAACTCTCCCAAAATTAAACCTCAATCGAATAGAAGCAAGTTCAAAATAAACCCCAAAATTGAACTTGTAAAATGTCCTTGAAAAACTGGGGATTTCATAGATCGATTGTTTCCATCAACTGAAAAAGTATAASCGTGAGGTTTAAATGTTCATTCCATCCATTATCAGCATAAATTTGCATCTAAAATTGGTAAATCTACTAAAAGTAAGATTATATTTGGATCAAGATTCAACCGATTGACAACCTTATGATAACAAATCGAAATGAAATATACAAGAATTTGAAAAGAAAGAAGAAACAAGTAATTGATAACTTACAGTTTCTGTGTTGGATTGGAAGTCTGCGAATGAAGTGGTGATGACAGTGAAATGGAAGCTCATCAAATTATAAAGAAATAGCCGCGTATAGACCCCAAGTCAACCTTAAATGGAAAAAGTTTAACTTTCAGTCCCTCAACTTTGGAACTTATCCTTTTTCAATTTATAATTAATGGATCCATTTAAAAGTTGGTTAAAAATAAAGGAGTTGTCTTTACAACCTTTATAGTTGTAATATCAAAAAACTATATTTAATATATTACAATATTTCCAAATAAATTAGAAAACAATATTCGCAAAAAAAAATTAAGATCTGTATAAACATTTAAAAAAATTACGTCCATTTGACGCTAATTTATTTAAGTTTTTTTATTAATATGAGTTGGGTACCAGTGAGAAAGGTAAGAAGAGATCTCCACCATTGAATCAATCATAATTGAAACAAAAAACGTCAATCGAAACGGTTTTCGGCACCAGAGCACACACATCTCTTTAAACCACCCTCACCACATTCGTTCACAATCAATTCCGAACATTATTTGTTAGGGTAGTAAACCCTGTCAAGCTTTAGCACCATTTACACCCGAAAACAATTGAAGTTAGAGCCTTTACCCTCGTCTAAAATATACTAAAAAAGTTTTGATATATTTTTGTTGTATATATTTTTAATATATTGATTTTTATAATTAAGAATATAAACGATATAAATATAAAGTTAAAATGGTTGAACCTAAAAAGTTTGACAATGCTATGAAAAAACATGAGTCAGGTTTTGGACATGGTGGAGATATGTTGAGGTTTTTAAATTGTTAGGTGACAAAAATATGCAAGGAAAAAGCTATGAAAAACCTTAACATAGTAGACGCTCTAAGGGACCGTTTACCTAAACACTTACCGGTAAAATTCAACATTATCGCTTACTTATCGAGTAAGATTTTATCCACTAAAACTCATCGTATGCAACAATTTATCCCAGTAAGCGCTAACTATCGTCCTCACTTACCGGGTAAGACTCTGGATTCTTGCCTTCACTCTTACCGAGTAAGATATTTAGTCATTGCCATATTCATCCGATAAAGTAAAGTGAATTGGTAGGCGTTCGTTTGGTAAACAGGACCTAAAACATGAATATATTTTGATTCATTATAATCCGTCGGTTTTATCGTTTATATGAAATTTCTTATGAAATTAACAGATAAGCTAATTACAAAATTAACTTTTATTAAAAGTAATATGGGAAGATTACACTTTTAGCCCCACCCACCTCCAAAATTATGCGACTTTATTTGGTCTAAGTAATTGGTAAAACTTTGGAAGTTTCGTAGTTATCTCCATGAAACTTCCATTAAAACAATGTCGACTTAAGGGCTATTTACCTAAATGCTTATACGGTAAGTGTTTAATGTTAGGAGTCAACACTATAAATTATTTTATTATGTAAGATTCTAGTACATCAAAACGCATCCCATGTAACAATTTACCTGGTAAACGCTTACCCGAATAAGAGGCGTCACCCTCACTTACAAGGTAAGATTCTCCATTCTTATCATCGTTCTTATCAAGTAAGATTCTTGGCCCTTGCCATGTTCATCCAATGAGAAGAATTACTTGGTAAATACTTACCGGGTATTAGTAAACGACCCTTATTCTAAGATTTATTGAACCCAAATCATCCTAAAAATAGTTAATATAAACTTAAATAAAAAAATTAGCTACAAAAAATATGGAACAACTTGAAATTGGTTTAAAACATACTTTAATGCTTATAATATTTATAATTGTTTTACTAAAAATTGCTATCATTATCTAAATATCAACAGTTTTTTATTAGCATATCATTTAGACGATAACACACTTATGCCACAACATTAAAACCTTTTTGAAACTTTCAAAAAGCATTCTAAATGAGATCATGGTAGAAATACTACCTCAAATTTCATTAAAGAAATACCCACCAGAACTTAAAATCCCTACAACCATTAATATATATAAATCGATGCATTGCTTTGATTCCTCATCAAACTAGGTATCTGGTCAGGGATGGACCTAGATTTTTTTTCTTCAAACGGTGGCATTATTAGACTATAAGAAACAAATATATGAAAAAAATTCAAATTTTAACACCATTTGACTATAGGTCACAGATATATATATATATATATATGGAAATTTTTTTCAAACGGTGACATTATTTGACTAAAGAAATGATACTAACAGGATACAAACTCGGGTTTGAGTTGGAATAAAAGTCTTGCAAACCAACTCTACTAAAGATAATTTGTTCTCATTGTAGTTTCGAAATACATGCGGTGACACAAAACAAATTAATATGGTTGCACCTTTCACAAACCTAAAGTTTTCTATCTTTCGACAGAGAAATAATACGGTAGCACAAAACAAATTAATATGATTTATCATTAATTAAGTTATTTTATTCAAATTTTTTTTGCCCAAATCACGTTTGACTTTGAGGCTATGTTTGTTATACTAGTGATAAACTGTGGGTCATATTTGGTAAAAACTAGTTGATAGGTTAGATCACAATGTTATTATCCAAAGGAACATGTTGAAAATTGGAATGTTTTTTAGATTTTATTGAAACAAATTACAAATACAAATTGCAGAAAGATTTTTTATTACATAGTTATGGTACCGAATACAAATTATAATTGAACTTGTTGTGAAATTATCAAATCAAGTTGTGTAAAAACAACTTTTGTTAAAGTATTATACAGGAAGACTCGACTTTTAACCCCAAATTATGGAACTTTATTCAATCAAAGTATTAACTGAACGTCTATATGTTGTCCCCATACCCGCCAGGGAATATAATCGCATCCCCATCCCCAACAGGGAAACGGAGATTTTTTTCGTTTATGTAAATTATTTTAAATTAAATATTTGAGAGACCATACATATTTAAATCTAATTTTTTTTTTCAATAAACCTAAAACCAGAATGAATTTAATTTAATACAAAAAAACCACAACATCATAAAAGAACTAATAATCTAAAACCAAAAAAAAAATTTAATAAAAAAAACTTAAATTCACATGTACCAAAAGATATTGAGTAATATAAAACCATATCGAGTAATATACAAAATTTATCGAGTAATTGTATTTTAACTTGACATCCAAAAAGTTTCATATTAACATCCAAAAAATAACAATTTTAGATTATAAACCTAGTTAGGTAATAGGAAATTATGAATTACCGTTTTAGTTGAAATACATAATATGTATATATATATATATATATATATATATAATTTATTAATTAATATATAACAGGTACGGGGCGGGGTGGGGAGTATCATACCCGTCCCCGTCCCCATCCCCGATTTAGCAGGGATCCCCAACCGGGGCGGGTGGACTAGGTTCCCCGACGGGTCGGGGCCCATTCCCATACCTATAAAATACTGATCCAAAGTCAACCAATTTGACCTAAAAAAC